TGTTCTTATGCATGCATGCATGCATATGAACATATTGTGCTGCAGCAGGAGCTGCAGCACCCAAGCTCTTCTTGCTGCAGCACCTGCTGCAGCAGGAGCTGCAGCCCGAAGAGTATGTGTTGCAGCAGAGAACCAGCTGTCTCCTCTCCTCCTCCTCAGCCCCAGGCCTTGAGTCTCTCTGCTGGCTCGATGGCTTTTGTTTTGGGGGGAGTTCTCGTCTCTTGTGTTTTTTTTTCTCTGCTGCAGCTCACAGCGGCTTCAGGTGTAACTGGAGCTTCATAGCTATACAGCTGTTGGCTNTTTTTTCTCTGCTGCAGCTCACAGCGGCTTCAGGTGTAACTGGAGCTTCATAGCTATACAGCTGTTGGCTGCTGTCAAGGCAGTTGAGGGTTTAGGGTTTGGTGAGAAGATTGAGGGTTTAGGTTTGCGTTTGAGGGTTTAGGGTTTAGGGTTTAGGAAGATTGCTGGGCCGCAGGGTGTACTGCGAGCCCCCTTCTCGTGTTCTCTGTTTCTGCGGTGTCTGTACACCCCACAAGTCTGTCTCTCTCGCAGGCAATACTTACACCGCTGCTTCTAGTGTAGAGTGCGAGGAGAGCAGTGAATTTGTTGCGGTGTATTGGGGCTGCCGAGCGCATGCATGCATGCATGCATGCAGCCCATCGAGACCATTGGTGCGCTCTGTATAATCTTTTCTTATCTATGTGCAGTTGTATATTTTTCTGGTGGATACACTCGGGGTATTAACTCAATTAAATATAACAAAGCTTCTGTCTTCGCGGGGCTGTCACGAAGGAGTGCATGCATATCTCCGTCATTTCAATGCACTGTGTTGGAGTCTCCTCATCCCTTTCTTATTGGGGTTAAGTTTTTACTCTTCTCCGCATGCAGGAGACTGATGCTGTCTCAGTTTANCATCCCTTTCTTATTGGGGTTAAGTTTTTACTCTTCTCCGCATGCAGGAGACTGATGCTGTCTCAGTTTATAAGCATTCACTCTTTCCTTCTTCTTCCCGCAGGCAAAACAAACTAAATTCTTATTGCGGAGACGCATGCATCCCCTCATCGTATATCTAGAGTTGTATCAACCTACACAATTCCACCGTCTAAGCCCCAAATCATTAAACTATGATCACTCTGTCCGTTGGGCCCGTGTCTATACACCGTAGCTTTGTTACACTGTGGTGAGGCCTGCTGGATATTAACGGAGCATTGCCGCAGGCTCTGCGCCAATGAAGAGAAGGGCTGCCAGGCTGCAAGGCTGCGGGGCTTCGGGGCTGTGAGGCTACGAGCCTGAGAGGCTGCTGGGCTGCGAGGCTGCGGAGCTGCGATCCTGTGAGGCTGCGAGGCTGCGGGTCTGCGAGGCTGCGAGCCTGAGGGGCTGCTGGGCAGCGAGGCTGCGGGGCTGCAGGGCTGCGAGGCTGCGGGGCTGCAGGGCTGCGAGTCTGCTGGGCTGCGAGGCTGCCAGTCTGTGGGGCTCCAGGGCTGCGAGGCTGCGGAGCGGCGAGGCTACGGGGCTGTGCTTCCTGTGTGTAGCTTCATCGATAGATTCCATCCCTGTGTTATTTTCTCTTCGTGTCTCCCCGTGTGTTTATGAGCTAGGGGGTTGAGAATTCTTTTGTTTTATATTTTGCTGCGCAAGTTTTTCTTCATCTCAGCAGCGTCAACCCATCCACCCTCTACTGCCTTCGCGGCGGCTCAGTCCCCTACAGAGTGTCTCTCTCTCCACTGGCGGTGCTGGCGCGAGGCGGAGCGCGTGGCTGGGTTTACACCGCAGAGACGATGAGAATTTGTGGATAAAAAAAAAAAAAAAATATGTTTCTCTCTCTAGCTGAGAAAGCAGAGCTATAAAAAATATATGGATGCATCGCTGGGCTTCTGTTCATCAAGGACTGCTGCTTCTACTGTCTCCGGCACTGTCTCTCAATACCTTCCCTTTTTTATTTTTCTCTATTCAGCTGTCCCCTTCTCTCCTGCGGGGCTGAGCATAAACTTGCCTGTGCGTGGATCTCGCTGTGCTTCGTTGTTTATATATGTTAAGGAAAACCCACCGCGGGCCCCGTGTAGATACACTCATCTTTGTTGCGCCAACCCTAAACCCTAAACCCTAAACCCTAAACCCTAAACCCTTCAGTTGTTACTTGCTAATAGAAGCCGTACCCCTTGGGGTGCGTTATGGAGAAGAAAGCACAAGGAGAGAGAAGCAGAGATCTCTTTCACAGCCTTCATATTATGGCACTCGTTATAAATATATATATATATATATATATATATATATATATATATATATATATATATATATATATATATAT